ATATATTATGAAAGATAACTTAATGTTGAACAACAAATGTTTGTGTTTTAAAGATGTTAAACATTCTTAATTAATACAAGAAAAAGAGAGGGTCTTAAAAATATTCACTTGAAAGTAGTCATTAAAAAACTAGAAAACTGAACGTTAATTCATAATTGAAAAATCAATAGTAATTATAGTCCTAAAATAATTATAGTCCATAAAATAACATAAAGCTTATTTATTTTTACTTACTATCTGCATTGTTCCATGAAATTATTTTTAAATCATTCTAAAACCAGAGAATAGTAATTACACAGAATACATATTACATTAACAATAGAGCATACGTACAGTATGCTATACCGTTTTTGCACATTAACAGTAAAACAAAGTTATATTTATCTACAAAGACACTCAAAATTGAACCTATTCATTTCACTTGCATATATGATTCATCAGTTTATTCGCAATTTCTAAAAATTTACATTCGTCTGCAAAAATGTTTTTCAAAAAAATATCAGAAATACAACCTGAAAATTTCAGTTGTCAATTTAATTTGATCGTATTTTGTTTGGTGTTTTTATCAGTTTTATTTTCTTCTAACCTGCATAACATTTTAATATTAGATTTGAAAAAATAAAGACCTCACGATAGATATACTTTGATGATTTTCTATATGATTGCTAAGTTCATTCTTTTTTATATCGTAATCAAAGAATAATTAAATATAAAATTTGCTAATTGTTGAAAATAATGTTTACTATAAACTTATAAGAATATAAAATTTCTTACAGATAAAAAGCGGTTTATTTTGCTTCTTATTAATTTATATGCTTTTGTGAAAAATATATAAGACGAACATCATTAAATATCCATACATTTAAATATTTTTCCAAATAAGTCATGGTTGGTTTTTTATGGTGTTTTAACATCGGTTTTAACTATTATTTTTATTTTCTCAAACACGCATAAAGGAAATTCTAAGATATTTTTAGCAGTAAGGAGGGGAACACAATACCTTATATTTAAGGTATTTCGCCTAAATAATATTGGAACTTAAAGCACTGTACTATACAGAATTGAGCACATTTAAATTATGTGGATTTCAAAAATGTATTTGATGATGACGGACGGGGATAATGTAGTACAATATTGGAGGTTGAATGAAAATATTGATATAGCTAGAAAACAATTGCTTGCTTATACAACTAATTTGAAAGATATGCAAACCACATCTAATCACGTAAGGAAGTCATATTTTAAAATTTAAGCTGAGTTTTAGTTTCGATACAGTTTTGTTATTTGCTAAAGAATTATGTTTGTTAACAAAAAACTTTCAAACACATACACATAAATATAATGACAGTAAATTTAAGTACATAACTTATCAAGCGGAAATTTTACACTCGTGTTAAAAATTAAAAATGTGGATCCATCGTATAATTTATAACGGCGAGATTTGGAAAATATGCTAAATCCCATAAAAATTTGCGCACCAATAAAGAAATGTCAGAATAAAACGAAATTTTACATACGTAAGTACAACGTTGATGTAAGTAAGTGATTACAAAATTAAAGCAAAATGGTCATTTACTGTATGAAAAATTACAAATGAAACTCGAGGTTTTAATACTTTCTTGGACCACCTCTAGCATGAATGCATAATGTGATACAGTTGGGCATTGAGATATACAAGTCTCATATAATGTTCTGAGACGTCTCGTTCCATAATTGCTGTAAAAACGCTTTTAATTCAACCGAGCTCATAGGTAGTCGAACTTGCTGTCCTAAATGATCCCAGATATGATCAATCGATGATAAATCTAAGGATTGAGCAGGCCAAAGAAGGTTGAAAATGTAACGTATGTAATCCTGTGAAACCCTTGCTGTGTGTGGGCGAGCGTTGTCCCGTTGAAAAGTGACTTCTGGAAGCCCTGACATGAGTAACAACACATGTGGCTGAAGAATGTCTCGAACGTACCTATGGGCTGTCATAGTGCCGTTCATGGATCAATGAAAGGGGTGACCGTATATTGTACAAGGTGGCTCCACATACCATCACCCCAGTTACGGGAGCGGTGTGCCACTGTATTGCAAAAGCAGGATTAAGTCACTCATCACAGTGTCTCCACACACATACGCGATTGTCATCACTGCCCATTTTGAATCTGGATAGGTCACTAAAGACAACCTGATTCTATTCGGTTACTGTTCAATTCATTCCAAACGGAGGCGACAGTGAGTGGTTGTCAATGTGTGTACACTTAATGACAACTGTCTTTCAGCCAGGTGCCTTACGATGGTACGGATTGACACAGAGGCCAATGGGGAGGCGCGGCCTGAATGTGGATGGTGGACAATGAGACAGTTGGAAATATGCAGAAATGTCATATGATGTAACGGTCTTCTCAATTATTGAACTATCGAGGGAGTCGTGAGTATGGTCGTCACATAATAGATATATGTCTTGTCCTCTGGCCTTAATCCCTCCTCACAGTAAAATCAGAACAGCCTAGGTTACGAGATACTCGCCTAGCTGTCTACGCTGTTTCCCTCATCCCTATGACTGTTCCCCTCTCGAATTCTGACAGCAGCTCATATTGCCTTCGATAGCAGCGTAATGGAACCTCGAGTTAAAAAACGTTCCCCAGGAAATGATTAAATATACGCAAACAAGCTCTGCTTACCTGTTTTATATTTCAAAGAAAACGAAGTTCAATGCCCTCTGGTGGTATTAGTGAATGAGGAATCATGCTGCATTACTAATCATTTCCAAATCTGCCTAACATGTACCTTATGCCAAGTTTCGTAACAATCCCATTCTTACTTCTTAATGCTCAAATTTTTATGATAGTGTGTATTTGGGACAATAGAGAAACGTTTTAATTGCACAAGTTTAAGATGACCACAACAATCTAGTAGTAATGGTCACAAATTAATAGCCGGCGTTGTTTATGTTAAGTCGTAGGTTCCAGTTTACTGTCCCTTAAAATCTTGATGAGTGATGTCTCATTGATGACATTTAAATTTATTGAATTTCTAAGACCTCTCTTAGGCGTGATATTAAGATTTAGAATAAGGGTTTTCATCGCTGGTATCTTCATAATATAATATCAAGGCTCAAATTACGAGGTTTGTCACCAATAGTCCTCATATTGCTAAAAGGTACGACATTAATGAAACAATCAATGCAGCCGTAAATTTCGAAGTTTTAATTTTTTTATTCACTAAAATAATTCTGAATATTTTTACTTTCTCATACAATTCATCTAGGAATTTCAAAAACATATATTATGTCTGAAAGGAGTTATTCTAAAATGTTTAATTACTTTAAAGTATAGGTGAATAAGTTGATTGAGAATTGTGCAATTTTTGTATGTATAAACAGCTTAAAACAAAGTTTTTAAAGCTGAACTTAATAATGCCAAGCTAGTTTAATTCCTAAAAATGCTGGAGAATAAAATGAAATATAGACCTTGGTAATTTTTTTATTATAATAAATTAAAAATTAGCTTACATTTTGAAAGTTTTTGATATTTCTACTTCAGTTGGTATTTTACATTTAAATATGGATTTGGTTTGGTTTTATTAACATCGCACTAGAAGCAATACGAGGGTTATTGGTGACAGATCTCGTAATTCTGAAACTTAGTCAAGTGACGGGGATCACAAATGATCCAAAATGATGTCAAATGCACGTGGTGTTCCCAGGTGATCACCCTCCGAAGTACTGACCGGCCCCGTTGATGCTTAATTTGGGTGATCGGACGAGAAGCAGAGTATGGACGTTGGCATACAATCTGCCCCTTGAAGGGATTTTAAATATGGAAGGATACATTTAAACAATGATAAAATTTTGTGGGTATTTGTAATCGTATGATATATATAATAGGGGTTTTAAAAATACCTCTTGTTAAAGAGGATAAGTATAATAATTTAGTGTAAGTGAAGTAAGGTATGTGATTAAATTTTATGTATCTTGTATATTTTTACATATCTTGTATTATTGAAAAAGTGTCGTGGACATAAATTTAAAGTCTTAGGAAACTTTTTAAAATAATTTATAGCTTACTTTGTTATATAATATTTTTCTTAAATTATATTAAAAAATTGTCATAAAACAGCAAACCATTTTGTTTAAATGAAATAAATTATTTATAATTTGACAATTCATTAATCTACATTCAGTTTTTAATAGTTCAATTCTTAAAAGCATATAATTTTTATTCAGAAAGTTTTAATTCAAAATAAGTTTTAAGCATTTTCATTAACCTTTTAGACGCCAATGTTCCCATTTAAGAACACCAATTTAAAAAAATAGCCAAAAATGTAATTTTAAAGATATCTTTATGCGATTTTTATTTGATAAACATAAAAGTTTGATTGAATTTTTGAAATGTTTTAAAATGAGATAATTTAGCTTTTTATATCCAAAAAAAATGTTCAAATATGCAAATTTTGACATATTTCATATTGAGAAAGTGTAGATTTTTTAAAGGGTAAATTAAATGTAAATTCATTTTAAATTTGGATGAGTTATGAAACTGTAGGCTTAAAACAATAAGTTACATACAATTAAATCATAAAGAAAGGTTTAGTTGAGTAATTATGAAGAGAGATATTTCGATGATCCCAAATGGGAACATTGGCGTTTGACATAATTTTTCTTATATATTTCAACTGAATAAAATTAAGCGATTTGAAAGACACTTTACAGGCATATTCTGCATGAAACAAAGGTATAATTCAGTAGAAAGGTGATTTATTTAGTATAAGATTCAAGTTTATCGTTGGCCCTTCCCACCTCCGCAAAAAATGAGACTGGCATCTCTCTGTAATTCTTTTTGTTTCTCCCCTGATTTCGCACCTATGTCAGCTCTTGCTAGTTCTTGCTAATTAGATCTATTTCTGTTGAGTACAACCGAAAAATTATAAATAAGTGAATCACAGTTGTAGCATATACCAATTTAGAGATGAGGAGAAATTTTTTTTACCCCATATGCTTATAAGATGTTTCGAAAGGTAATGCAGAATTCCTTTCCACACGTGTTTCATTCATAAAAGAGAATTCATTCTCAGACAAGAGTAGGTTTTTCTGTGTTCCTATTGTGAGTTTTTCTATTGATTATGTATCACGCTAAGCGTTTTAAAACTGTGGAACAAGCTCTCTAATATTTCGATTCGCTAAATTCAAATGATTCTAATATTTCGGATATTGATGTATGTATTATATTCCGCCAAATGAAAGTGGTGATATAACAGAAAATGAAGACAACAATGATGAAGATTTAGGGGAGATTATTCCGAGGGATGTAACAGGAGAATTGAAGATTCTTCGTAAAGATGAGTCATATGGTGACCCCTCAACATCACACACAAAAATAAAAGTAGAGAGCACAAGTAAAAGTGGTGATAGTATCTCTACACGAAAAAAAAAAATAAAACTGGAAACGATAATACAGAGTAAGAGAAAAGAGTTTAATCATATATTTCCTAATGAGGAACCAAGTGATATAAAAATTGATTTTTCAGAGTTACAAGATATGAATCCTATTCAACTTTTTGATAAAATCTTTCCCATGGAGTACATTGGAACATTAGCATGCATGACAAAATTATACGCGAGTCAAAAAGGAGAGATGATTGCTATGGACAATATAGATATTGTTCGGTTTCTAGTATTGTTCCTCTTGAGTGGTTACCATTGGGTGCCAAAGGAAGATTATTATTTGAGCACTGCTGAAGATTTGAATGTTGATATTGTTCCGTCAGTCATGTCAAGAAACCATTTCCTTCCAATCAAAAAATTTTTCATGGAAATGATAATTCTAAATTACTAGGTGATAAACTTGGAAAAATAGCTCCAATTTATGAAGAATTAGGGAAATTTTGCGTCAATTTGGAACTTTCCACAAGAAAATTGAGCATTGATGCATCGATAGTACCTTATTGTAGACACCACACTAGTAAAATGTTGGTGAAAGCTAAGTTCATAAGATTCGGCTTTAAGATATGAATGTTATGTTCATCATCTGGATATCCGTAAGCGATGGAAATTTATTCTGGAAGAAATAATGAGTCATCAGGAATGCCTCTGGTTGAAGATGTTGTGACACAACTACTCTCCAAAATTGAAGATCCGACTAGGCAAGGAATCTATTTTGATAATTTATTGAAAAATTGACTCATTCTAGAATAAGAACACATGTACAGTCTGAAGTAACCGCATCAGGCAATGTCTTTTACTAGACAATAACATGCTTGCCAAAGAGACCAGAGGAGCAATGGATTTCGTAGTGATGGAACTGTATTAATTTTCCCCTGAAATGACAATGCAGTTGTGACAGTTGCCTCTAATTACCAAACACAAGAGCCTATTTCATATACAAAGCGATATTCTAAATCGGTAAAAAAGAAAATTGATGTTATCTAACCTGCTCTTAGAAGTATTACAATGAAGATAGAAGTTGATGTTCTAGATGAGCTTCTATGATCGCACAGACCGCAGCTCCAAAATAAAAAATGGTACTGGAACTTATTTGGAAACGATCTAAATATTGCTGTAGCAACATCTTGGATAATTTATAGATATATTCATAGAAAAAATTCAATACCACATATAGGATTTCATCAAGATATTACGCTGAAATTTCTGCGTTCCGAACTAAAACTTGGACCAAAAATGCATGTTTCAACTGAACTTAGAAACACAGATAATCATTTTCTGAAATCTGCATCACAAGAACGTTGTGCTGTTTGCCTAAATAATTGCCAAAACATGTGTGTTGAGTGTGACAAAAGGTTGCATAAAGCATGTTCCTCATATTATGGCAAATGAAATGGATAAAAAGCTATGAAAAATAAAAAAAGGTAAAAAAATGTAAAATAAATTTAAAGGCAAATGTTTTTACTGTCAGTTATTTCCATAATCTATTATTTAAGAGCTTTTTTTTGCTTATTTGTTTCTAGTAAATAGAAAATCTATAAAATCTATAAGAAACATACTCATCAGACGCCAATGTTCCCATTTAGGAACATTTAAAAATTCCATATAATTTTTTTTCCTTCAAATGTTTTTGTTGATTACTTATAAGGGATCTATAATTGTACATAATTTAGCAAATTTAAGTACAAATCTGATCTGCTTCATAATTCTTCGCTTAAACAGTTAATGGTAGCAAGTACACTTTTCCTCTGATTGATTAACTATTAGTGCTGTCCTCGACTATAATATTTGAAAATATGTAAGTCTTAAAATATGAGCATTAAATGTTTTGATAAAAGGTTTCAACTATCTTCATCACACCATTTCTTTGCTTAAAAAAGTGATTAGATGTTTGAAAGAAAGTTCATTCTAAATTTCTGACTTATATATATCCTCTTGAGACCCAATGTCAATTCTATTAGAAATTTTTTTTTATTTTACATGTAGAGAAAGAATTTACAGTTTTATATCCTAAGGTCAGGCACTACATTATATTGGACAGTCCACTTCTGTCATCTATTTAGTAAAACTTGAAATTATTTGGCAGGAACCTTGTTCCATAAGCATTTAAAAATAACGAACAAGAAGAAAGTAACAATTGAAGGTATGTCAGCAGTTTAAATTTAGTTTTATTATACTTTTTCATATTTTTTTTAATTAAAAATAGCTAATACACAATTTTAGATGTGTGAATAATGAAATTATGTTGTATATTTAATCAGTAATATATGTTTTTACTAAATTAAGACACAATATCCATTATAATGGACTGGCCAAAAATTGTGTATTTTTTTAAATTTAAAAGCAAATAGCTTTATATACTGTTTTGTAAAACTTTTAAATGATTTATCTCAAATTAAGGAAAAATTGCTCAAAGAATATGGTCTTGGGTTTATATATAAACAGCTGTTTAGATCATGACTATCCAATAAATTTCTTAAATACTTATATACATCACAAATATATTAAACATCTTTGCGAATCGTGATCCATTTTCAAATCCACCACACAACAATAGGTCCACAAAGTCGGCTTGTTAGTGGTCTAGCCGTGAAGAATTTATTTATTTATTTACTTTTACACAGCTTACATTTTTATTCACTCTCTGGACCATTATACCCCTTTACCATATAACTAATTACCAACCAATAATTTGCATCCTTATACACTTTATTACAAACCAAACAAAGGTTTAAATCTTTTTTAAATTTATATGGTGATGACGTGTTATATTTTTTTCGTTTTGAGTATGTGATATCCATCTTGAAGCTTAAAGAAAGTTCCGTCTTACTACTCACATATTTGAATCTTCATTTCTTTGAATTTTTATAAATAATTATTTTTATATTTTGATTAGCTGATAATTTTTAGAATTATAGATTTTATTTTTGTAGATTTTATCGCTGAACTTTTTTGCATCTTTTAATCATTGAATTCTTTTGCACTTTGGATTTCCCAATTCAGCCTACCAAGTCGCAAAGGGGGAACTATTAAGGTTGGTATTATTAAACTAGTTTAACCCCGCTTATTCGGTCCTCAGCCCGAAATTGCTTTTTGACTTGCTGGGTTCCATATTTTCATTTATTTTTTATTCTTTCCTTTTTACATTTCTTTCTGAATTTTTGTCTTTTTAAATATTTTAAATTATTCTTTCATAAATTTTCAATATATATTTATATTTATATATATATATATATATATATATATATATATATAATTTAGTTTCGTTTTATTATATACAGAAAGAGGAATTATTTACAATAATTAAGAAAAAATAATGTTAAATGCTTCGAAACTTTAATTTATCTT